GAAACTAGGCGTGGAGATCTTCAGGGGTGAGATTTTATGAGCAGTCCCTTTAAATTCAGAATAACCGTCCCTTTAAATTCAGAAAAGTCAAAAGTTCTGCAAAGGTTAGTTTCGATACATTATGGGCAGTTTTAGAGAAACTTCAACAGGTTCCGGGAATTTCAAGGAAGTTCAAAGAACTCTTGAGAAAAAGCTTCAGACATATTTTGGGAACCCTGAAGATATCCATAGATTTTCTGGAAAGTGTCATTTATTTCAGGGTAATGCCAAGAACTTCAAAAGAATTTCGATAATTTCAGGCTACTAAAATTCCAAGAAGCTCAGGAAAACCACAAAACAGTTCCGTGATCTTCAGAGTAGTCCAGAGAACTTCATAGAAGTTTAGATACTTTAAGGCAGTTTCAATATTTTCAGCAATATCCCGAGGGTTTCAGAACTTTTTCATCAAATAATTTTAGGAGCTCCGAAAAATTATGGAAAAATCCTAAAATAAATCAATGATTCAAACCACTCCGTGCACAAAAACAATGCTAATCGCAAAAACCCAACAATAGATAGCGGTCGAGTCACACCGGTAACAAAGGGAAGCGAGAGCACACCAAGAACCCAAGCAACAGGGGGAAAACAGCTGCACAAACCTTTCCAAACCAAATTATCGCACCCGGGACACAAAACCATCAAAATGCGAGCACCGAAAATTTACACGCTAGCTCAAAGACAGGCCGGAATCAAAAAATAAAAAAAAATAAAGCAAGATAAAAGCACGTAGTGGCTGGCGCCGATGGTGTAGTGGTAAGCGTGACTGCTTTCTCACCCCAATGGGTCTGGGTTCAATCCCAGCCGAGGTCGGTGGGATTTTTCTGAGGCATAAAAATCTAAAAAGCACACAGTGCAGCAAAAAGACATCCGTTCTCGAATGATACTCAAAGCGCAGTCTATTTTATTCACAAGTTCACTTGGTTACAATAACATGAACTATACTTATTTATTTGTCTTGCAATTAGTACCAACATTAAACGCTAAAATTACACATATGTATGTATTTACAACCATTCTTCACATTTGTGGTCCAAAGAACTCTATTGACTTATGTACATCAAAATTCCCGAAAGTATTAATTAAATTTAACAATCTGATTTTATTACAGTCAGGAATCCTTATTGCCGGGGTAGCACGGGCCTGAATAAGGAACCGCGAATGAGGATACCCACAGCTTATAGGATTTTCACTAATAGGGACTGTGGTGGATTATCTCATTTGTTTCAATATATAGAGCTATACTGTCTTGGACAAAGTTGTTGTACAAGCCTGTGTCATTGGATTTAGGTTTAATTGGCAGCTACGCCGTTAGAGGTGCTTCACTTTTATGTTACTTATGACGGGTGCTATAATATGTGGATCATAGGTTCAACATAGAATATTTCGTGATCCTGGCCATATAGAAAGTAACTGTCTTGAGCAAAGTTGTTCAAGTGACCAAGTCCTTTCGGATGGTGGCCATATTAGTTCAGAACTCTCTCACTACGCAGCTCTAGTAGGCATATGAGCTTGCTACATCAGCTGTAACATAGAATATTTCGTGATCCTGGCCATATAGAAAGTAACTGTCTTGAGCAAAGTTGTTCAAGTGACCAAGTCCTTTCGGATGGTGGCCATATTAGTTCAGAACTCTCTCACTACGCAGCTCTAGTAGGCATATGAGCTTGCTACATCAGCTGTATTTCAAAATCCTGGTCATATAGAAGGTTACTGTCTTCAGCAAAGTTGTTCAGGTGATTATGTCCTTTTATACGGTGTTCATATTAGTTCACAACTCTCTCACTACGCAGCACTAGTGTGCATGTGAACTTCCTATATAAACTGTATCTCGAGAACCTAGCCATATAGAACGTTGCTGTCTTGAGCAAAGTTGGTCAGGTGACCAAGTCCTTTCGGATGGTAGTCATATTATTTAAAAACTCTCTCACTACGTGGCACTAGTGTGCACATGAACTTCCTTAATATGTTATGTCTGGAAAGCTTGTCCATATAAGATGGACTTCATGGTACTTCAGTTATTTTAGCCTCAAAGAGCCTCAAAGTTCTACTTACATCACTTACATCTACTTACAAAGGTCACTCTGATATTTCTTCCTCATTCCCAACTGATTGCTGGTGCCGCTATCGATTTCTATAATATAGAATCATTGCAAGTTGTATACTGAAAATGGACGGTCACTCTCAGCACCATTCAGTTGTACCATTGTGCAATTTCACTGATTCTGATCAATAACAAGATTTCAATTATTGATATGTGCATGCAAAGTGAAACTTAGTTAGCCAAATGTTTTAGATTTATGCATTGAAAATTGTTTATAGTGTTAGCTTTTTAATGAAAACTAATAAAAAAAAGGAGAACAGGTTAGTTTTTCTAGGGACATAGTTTGTTATTCTTGTTTTTACAGCAAGTGTATTGCCACTAAAAGTAAATTAATTTCCAATAAGGAAAACTATCTTTGATTCTTTTAAAACCATACGGAGCAGTACCATTGTCGTAACTAAGGAAACTAAGGGGGTGGGGCACTCTAGCACCATCAAGGATTATGGTGCCCCCTCTAGAATTGTTACTACAATTTCTAATTTTCCTGACACTATAAAATTGCAAATTGCCTAATTGAGAAGTGCGAATGACATTATCTGATAAAACAATTTTGGCTTTTAATGAGCTGGTGTAAATCTTATGAACCATTTTTAAAGCGAAATAATTTTGCATAAAGCCGTTCAGTACCGTAAAGCCGTTTATTTAAAAATGAGGAGGGTTGGCAGATGTTCACGTTTCATAAAATTTTATTTTTTTTCCTTGATTTGTTTTTCGTCGATCTTGGTTTCCGTGCTGAGCACCAATGCTCCCGACGCCAGGGAAACAGCTCTCAAACCTGGACCCTACCTATAGACCCATCATTTCTTGAACCGGGGACCAACGGCTTTACTTCCCTTCCGAAGGAAAGCGTGATCAGAGATGTTATGCCTCAGAACATCCCGGCGGTGCCGACTGGGATTGAACCCAGGCCTGCTGGGGTGAGAGATAATCACGCTCACCACTACACCACCGGCGCCGCTATGTTTTATTTTGGATTTAATTTATTTTGTATAGATGAGGAGGGGAGGTCAAAAATTTCTTAATAAAACCCTCCTTCAGGGAATGACAATTTGTTAGAATCATACATTTTTGCACAATTTGAAGCTTTTTTTATAGTTTCCCCATTGATTCATTGAAAAGCATTTTAATTCAAGCCCTGATGATTTTAGATACATTTAACAGACATGAATTATCTTGGAGTTAAAAGCTCTCTCTTAAAACCACATTATTACCATAGATATAACACTAGAAACGCGGATGAAGTAAGAACACCACATCTTTTGAATAATGCTTCACAAAATTCATTATTTTTCAAAGGTATAAATGTTTTCAATTCGATGCCTAGACACATCAAGCGTGCAACTACACTTACAGAATTCAAGAGACGCTGCATTTCACATGTAAAAGCTGTTTATTGAGCAGTTAAATTTTTATGAATGGATAAATCATGTATCTTGACAAAGTTATCTCTAACGGATTATTTTGTATGGAGACTGTCATATAGACATTTTAGTAATTGGTGTAGCATATACAAAAAACTACATTGTTTGCCTCGATGGTGATGATGGATTTTTAGTTTTTTGATTTTGTAGTAGTAATAGTAAAAATAGCTTTGAGTAGTCTACGATGGTTTGAGCCTCGCGCGCGGAATACAGGTATAAATGACTAATACGTGGAAATTGTGGCAAAAGCCTTGAATTAGTAAAGGGTTGGCTGGAAGTCGTTTCCTTGGATATAGTCCTGGCACTGCGGAAGCTTAAACGTGTAAATCCCAGGTCACGTGTAAATGGAAGTATTGTCGAGGACTATACTTGGACTTTTGATAACTAGTTACACCTTTGAATGTTTTTGGTTGATGCCTATAGCATATTTAACAGGACATTTATATCTGTAATTGTAACCAGCTCGATTTTGTTTGCAAAACTGGTTAAAATGTTTATATTTAATTATCTTAAAGATAACTCGTCCAGCTCAAACCTTTGTAGGGGTAAGAGGTGGGACCATCATCATCATCATCATCATCATCATCACCTACCACTACTCAAAATTTTTATATTACGGTTTTACCGAACAGCCGCATTAAAGGTCATTAAATAATAATAGTACATTTATTTAAAGCAATGCTTATTATTTAATCAAACGGCTTTTGTTGTCTAATTCATAAAATTAAACGGAATAATCGATGCTCTCATAAAACATTAATAAAATTAAGAAAATTAAGTAAGGCATTGTGAATGCTAATTGAGATTGCTTGTTTAGAAGTTAGATAACGTCTGGTCACCTTATCCTGTCATATTCTCAACATTGAAATTATTATAAAAGATCATCGCAGTGATGAATTTTCCCAACAAGGAATGACAAAATTCATCTTTCATGATGATTTTACTTGCTAACTCTATCTTATCGTGCATTTGTACACAAATAGTTACAAAGCCTGAAATGCGTTAATTAAAATGTATAGCTTACTTTTGTTACACTGAAGAGGGATCATTTTGCCAGGTGAAATTTGCTTGGGTTTTGTGCTTCTTTTGTTCCATGGAGGCGACAAGAAAATTACACACGATGGAAAACGGTATGCAGCACAAATTCCAAGTATTACCGTTAGTAAATGAGCTTGCATTCACGTTCACCAACCGTAAACACCTTCCTGTATTTTGCGTACATCCTGTCTTCTTTCGGTTTACTATCATCATCGCGTAGCAGGACCTGTGCTTTTCGCAGGTGCATAACGCAATCTTAGGTCTTCCGGCACTACTGTATGTGAAACGAAAAGACACTCTCTCCTACCGAACGACCAACTTGAATATTTATTCTTATACTCTGCATTATCCTTTACTCTTAGCCTCATGATTTTCCCCTACTTCTTCTATGTACCATACAGGTTTCATGGATCAGGAGAAAGGACTATCATCTACTAACGGTCGGGTTGACGACTTACAGCAGCGACGAGCGATTTAGTGCCACACATCTGCAAAACTCCGAGGTTGCTTCACGTTAGGAAGCAAAAATGCATTCTCTTGAATATATATTGCTTTGCAATTGCAGGATTGGACGTTGCAGATAAAATTCGTTCAGGACCGGGACGCCGGATGGTACGAGTGCCAGGTTTCAACACATCCACCGACGTCGATCTTCCTAGAGCTACGGGTAGTGGGTAAGTTTGCAGTAAAACAAGTCATCTTTGGTGCTTTTAGTGATTTATTGTGATGCGCGTACTCTTTCCCTTTTGTGTCCTAGTTTCTCTCATCCAAATATATGATTACGTAAACACCAGCAGGTACCAACGGTGGTGCCATGCATAGCGTTTACTGTGAGTTATGAATCATACGCACTAATGAAGTTTTAGACGTTCGCTTCGTGGGTTGAAAATATGGGCATGATTAAATTTATTGTTCAGGTCATACATGTTTTTATGGTACATAAACCGTTAACAGGATTTGGTAGAATAGAGATTTTTTAGATTTTGGTTTCTGGTGAGGATCTTTTCAACTTGTAATTATTCATGACGTACCTGGAAATTTAATGTAGTATCTACAGTACTCTGATCAAAAAAATTCGAGAAAATTCAATTCGCAGAATACCAATGTAAAACCGAACAACTTGGCAAGACAACTCTCAATTAGAAATTGTGAAAAAGCTTAAAAACAAACTATTTTGTGGGCGAGCATTACATGATTAGAAACCCGATAGAATCCAAATGGGAAACATTTCTAGTTTCTTTAATCAATACGACTTGGGGCAAATATTTTTTTTGTTTATTTGTTCGGCCAAGTCATTTGACAGACCATTCTAACATATAGATCCTAAGCAACTGTCATATTTAATTCCGTTGTATCGTGAAGTTCGATAAAATCTCGGTTATGATCTCGAAGGAAAATTAAATTCCCCTAATCACCAGCAACGGATCTCTGGACCCAGGTCGCACCCAAATCACGGATATGTTTATCTTTGATAAACACCACCTTAATGGTCCCAATTCCCAATGAAATCATTCCCATATCCCCGGGATTACATGGCAGATCATTAGTTGTAACCGACAAGCCATTATTGTTTTCCTGCCCTAGCGCGACCAATTGACAAAGTTTCATGCATCGCTAAAAGTTTCACCGTTATGATACGGGAGCAGAATACGAAAGCAGTGTAGTCCGCGTAGGAAGCAAACACAAACCAGACTTCCAGTCACGTTCTCTTGGCTCTGGTGAATACAAAAATAGTGTGAGGTAGGTAATAATGGAGATCCTTTTCTTGCTGTTTATAAAACTTCTTTTCTTTTCGTTCCGTTACTAACGCCAGAGTTTCTACTTAGTTCTATCATTTTTTTCATAGATATGTGGTAAAAGCCAATAACGAATGTATTTTTATTCATTAAATCCAAGTAAATTAAAATATAATCCAACCATAAATAGGAGGGAGCGTATTGAAGGGCGCAACTTAAAAAAATACTCAATAAAGGCATTACATAATCACTAATTAATCAGAGAAGGGAAAATTGAAAATAAAGCATACGGACCATCCTTAAATTACGTCACGCGTTCAGAGGGAGAGATAGTTTGAATAATTGTGACAATTTGTAACCCCCATATGTTACTGATGTCATTCATACCGTTGATGAACCCAACCTTCGCTACTGTCACCACAGAAGAAAACAGGTGTATCAAAAGGCCTTTTACATCTAGGCGAAATCGTCTGCAGTGTAAATAATTGTTTCAAATCTGTACGTGCTCGACTGTTAATGGTTGTTTAAAATGTTTTGTATTCTGTTTTCAATGTTGTTTTTATGAAGAATGGTTCATTGTACTCTATGTGTTATAAAAGGAAATCAGGAAATAAAGAACATTCTCTTTCCATAGTCAACCCTCCAGGACGACATGTTGCCTCCTGTAGGACCTTAAAGTAACCAGTCGATCATTATTATTATGCTTGAAAAAACTTGCTGATAAGACGTGTGACCTGTTGACTGTTGGACGAATCAGATACATATTTTACATAAGTTACCCCCTCCCCCATATAAGAGGGATTAAGCCAAAACGTGGTATCACATTTTAACTGTTAAGTAAAACATAATTTCGAATTACAGTTTTTTTTCTGGAACCCCACTGAATCGAAAGCGATGATTTATGTTGCGATTTGCCAAAGTTTTTGATGGTTATGAACAAATTTATATAAACATTTAATAAATGGATTGTTTCCCATTAGATCATAATAAATGTCTGTTCTCAATAATTTGTATATGTCAAATATCTAGCGAAATTGGTTTAGTATTAGAATCTAGCAAACTTATTTTAGCCCTTTCTAGAAATTCTAGAACTTTTTCTAATTCCAGGATAGTGATATCAAAGTAATTAAAAAACTGATGATTTGATATCCATTTTCAAGTTCTAGCACTCAAAAATATGTACCTACTTGCGGCAATCCTTTTTCGTTTAAATTTATTTTTCTATCCTGCTTATATATTTACATACATTTAAAAATAGAAATCAACCAGCCTAAGGCTGAAAATCATGTGAACAGCTTCGATAAAGACCGTAACCCAGTGATGTCATGGTTAATTTGGAATTGGTTACTCATTTTAAAGTAGACTTTGTTATTTATTTTCAATAGCTGGATACCCTAGAGGGTCACACCTCAAGTAACACAAATTCATAGAGTTATGTTGAGTAAACTGCTTTACAACCAAAACCAGTCATAAAAAGGTTATATAAACTGTTATAGAACATTTGTGTTGCTTGAGTAGTTCTAACTACCACGAAATCACTGAATGTTTCTCCTATAATCGAAGAAATTTTTTATTGATTGAGTGAGCACAATTTTCCTCAAAAATCTGCTGAATAAAAATTACACTCTACACGGATACAGGTACCTAGAGTCGAATTCAATCAAAATTGCATTGTAATCGAATTCAAAGTCTGTGCCGTTTATATGGGGTTCAACGATATTCAAGATGTTTTTCCTGGAAAATCGAAGGAAAATTTATTCATTCACTGAGTAACTATTTTTTTTTGCAATTTTGAATCCAATTCGACTCAATATTGAGTTACTCTCATCGACCGCGCATTTACTCATAGATTTAAAAGACATACATTTTTTTTTTATTCAAGCAGATTTTTTAAAGAAAATCGAGGAAAATTTTACTCACTCAATGAGTAACCCCACTTTCTACTATTTTGATAGAAATCCTTCTAAATTTTGAGTTAGTCTCATTGACTAACGATGTGACAACCAACGCATCTAAAGACGAACTGAAACAAAATTTTAGTAGCAACGTTACGTTTATTTCTGTTGATTATGATTGTACACTGAATAAGCATTTCAATTGATTATCCTATTTGGCTCTTTATCTTCATCTTCGTCTGAAACAAAACGTATAGATACACTCTTTTATAACCTCGTCTATCTCTGTCATAGCAAGCAAGCACGTGATTGGTTGATTGCGACCAAAAAGTTTGATCAATTTGCAATAGTTTACTAATGATAAATTACTATAATCCTTAATCCAAACAAATGTTATATCAAATCTAAATCAAATGAAACATAAATCTAAATCCGTCAATGTTGGCGTTTGAAAACTGACACTAATCCGTCACACGATTTTTTTGATTTAGACCCAAGTATAGTCCACAAAGACGCTTAACTCCATAATACAATGAGCCTACCAAATAAATATTGTGGAAAAATAAAATAGCTCTTTGATGTCTTGGGAAGCATTTCTCATCTTCCCATTTCTTGGTGTCTTTCGTGTTAAATAATTGTCCAAATGAAGAAAATGCTATTAATATTAAGAATTTTATAAGTTCTCAGAGTTCCTTGGAACTGTCCGCGGTAGGGACAGTTAGCCAAATTTTGCCCACAGAATCACACAACCAAAAGTAAAGACGTTTAGGAATACAAGATCGAAGAGATTTTTTTAAAAATAGTTTTATCTTCAAGTGCATAAAATTTACGTTTCCAAATATTTTAAATTTCAAAAATCCAAAGTGAAGAAAAATTTTCATCTAGTACATAGGGTAAATGTCGGCTTCGGCACCCATTGACTGTTTTCGGCAACCAAAATTTAAACGTTAATTTCACTATGTTTTACCATCAACACACTTCCCTGAATGTATCCAAACGATTCTTTAGTCTTTCAGCTTCAATCTGATTATATTTGTAGGACCGAGCAATCCTGTTATGCCAGATTTTTCTTCAAATGAAGCATACGTACTACAAAATGGGGCTGATTTCGAGTTGCCGATAATAGAACAGCTGGTTAACATGCAGTTCTAATGGGAAGGTTGCCGAAGAAAAAGAGGCTGACGACAATAGTCACACTCACCTAAGAAGTTTAGAGCGTTGTAAAAACACTTTCAAACAGTTTTGAAGAATTCTGTCGATTGGAATGGATAGAGAAGCAAGCAGCAGATGAATTGAAACAAACAGACAAATATGTACGTGACGCTGTGAAAATGCTATTAGAAGTGCGGACGCTGCTTAGATTGACGAGAATACGTAAATTCCCCTATTACAAATTTCAAGAGAACACACATATTCACGAAATAATAAGACATATTAATTGCAAAATAAAACAAGTTAAAGCCTATCAATGTGCCCTGCGGTCAAAATGCCTACAAGTTACAGACAAAGGGTTAACATATTAGGTTTTACATGCTTGGGTCTTGGGTCTTAGCAACTTAATTATAACTACAATGAAACTCGGCTTAAACTCATTTCCAGGAGAAATTAGTAGTTAATTTTGCTTAAATTATCGGTGACTTTTAGCCATGAAATACAATGAATAATATGGTGGGATGCCAAGAAAATCAACAAAGAATAGCCCATTTACCCTAATTTATCCCAATATTTGACACAATACTAACACACGGTAAAGGCGCAGCTACAAAGCAAAACCTTGCTGGAGGTTTCTGGGTTCGATTCCCGGTCCGGTCTAGAAATTTTTCGGGTTGGAAAATTTCTCCACTTCCCTGGGCATAGTGATCCATTGTACTTGTCCCACAATTATACTAATGGAAAAATGGTACAGGCATCGAAAGCTCTCAATTAATAACTGTGGAAGAGCATCTAGAACACTAAGTTGAGAGCACACAATAAGCTAATATGCGATAAGCAATAAGCTTGAAATGCGAAGAAGAATAAGAAGAAGAAGAATAAGAACTTTGA